TTTTTTTTTTTTTTTTTTTTTAAGAAGTAGATTGCCAGGTCTTCTTCTTGCTAGTCTGTCTTAATCTGGAAGCTCTGCTAAAACCTGTCCACTATGGGTGACCCTGCTGGTATGTGAAATACCAGTGAGATAGCTTCCAGCATCCCAGCAACACGCAAGCCACCAGAGTACGACAAACTAGGACTAAGTATTAAATAACTATATTTTAAATATTGAATCAGAAAATAAAATCCATGGGCTTTGCAAAAGAAAATGAGTTACTTCTCCAATGTACAGAATTACATGGAATGGTTATGTTCCTAATTTCCCAATTCTAAAGGTAGAAAGAATAAGCAAACAAATAATTGCCTGACCTGAGGTATTAGGTCTATTTTCTACAACCAGTTCATAAGAAAAGATGACATCTGACAATTTATCTCTGCTGTTGCTAAAGGGTAATTACTATCCTTCAGCTGAGAAGACTCTACCAAGGTATCCCTCACACCTAAGATAGAGAAATCAGTCATAAACAATTTTATATAATAGAGTTAAAAAATATTTTACTTTGAATCGCTTAAGTTAATGCATATTGGTGCGTTTTAAAGGCCAATATTATCAAATAAACAACTTTTCAAATAAATCTACAATTAGCCATTCTGAAAAAGAGCATCCCATTAAGAATGCTAATACTATTTTTTGACTAACCAAAATAAAATACCTCAGTACCACTGATTTCCACGGAAAGAAAATCAATATTATACAAAGTTTTATAAAAGCTACACAAAGCTGACAAACAAAACTAGATTTTAGTTATTTCCACAATGAAAAGCTTATTGAGTATATTTTCTTCCATACAAAAAATCTTTTTTATAAGAATAAGTGTTTCTACTAAATAAAATTAAATCCTCCCCACACCACTACCACCTCAATAAGAAATAATCCCAAAAGGCAAAAAGTTATGTTAAATACTACTTTTCCAAAAACACACACTTAAAATTTCAAGCCACAAAGCTGGCTTCTAAAGATCTTTGCCCTTGCTATAGATTGTCTAGGTATGGCATAAGTGTGTATCTTTTTCTAAGGGAGCTGTATATCAGCTCTGTTCCCAGTGAACAGTGAACTGTTTCAAATCCACGTCACAGAGGCTGGATCAATCTTGCAAACACAAGTTATTGCTGAAAAGAGGCCTTGAACTGAAACAGCCTGGAAAATGTATTAGATCTTCATCTTTGCAAGAGGGTATGCCTTTCAAGCAAGTTAAAATGTAATGTGGCAAAACTTAAACATTTCATTTAAAATAAAAATCACGCCTTAACAGATGTAAAGTCCCTGATACAAGGAAACAAATTACCTGGAGTTAGTGAAGGGAGAGATACTAACACATAAAGGTGATTTCTTTTTGCATGTTCTCCAGTTATAGTGGGGATGATTGGGGGGGTATCCTTGTTTATTATACTTCTATATTGACCTTTGAAAGTACCTTCTTCCTTCTTTCTTTTCTTGTAAAATGGAAACCAGAGCAGCTATCCTAGCCTAGAAAGATGATATGTGGTCTTAGGGAAATATGAGAATGGTATATATACCTCCACTAGCGAGAAAACAAGTTTCAAAAGTATAACTTGCCTTTATCATGTCTGTGATATAAATTGCTCCAAAGATACCATTGTTAGACTCTCACAGTGAGAGTGAAAAAGAAAACTTAGGATGTCCACTGTTGCCAGTGAATCCAGCTTAATACTATAACAATGCTAGTTTTTCTGAAATCCAGAACTATTCAAGAATAATGAGCATAACGTCGACTCATGTGATACTCTAGTATACTTCAGTAATTAATACTACTACTATATAATTTGAAATCAGTACCTTATAATCCAAGGCTGAGAGTTTTTCCAGTCTTTTGTTTACATCAGGAGAACCTATCTTCTTGGTAAACTGAATAAGACATAGTTTGTTTTGTGCCAAAAATGATAAGATGATAAAACTATCTGTAAGAAGAGCTAAAAAAAAAAAAAAAAAAATTGATAATACCATGTTACCAATAAAATAATAATGAATTAATAGATTTTTTTCCACTGACATATAAAAGGCTATTTTCAGAATGAAGAAAAATGTTATATTAAAATCTCTAAAGTCTCCTAAAGACCACTGTGACTTTTTACCAGGATATTAAAGATAATTGTGAATAAATAATAATAATCAATCTAATCATACATAGATTTGCTACTTTTCCTTCTCTTCTGTGACCATTTCAATATACACTAATGTTCGGGGACCACTAGCAAATCAGATACATTTGGAACCAGGCCTAGAAAAGCATAAAATAAAGACTCTCTCACACCTGAATGTAAAGATGAAAACATTTACTTTATTTACGCTTAGCCTTTAACCCTGTGTTTATAATAATACAAACCATCTGAGAATAAATGGACTTATTAGGGGATACAGATTAGTGTTCTCCACTAATGTCATTTTATTTTTTAAATTTTGAAAATTTACATCAATGAATCATTTTTGAGGGTATATCAGCTGAATGAAATAAAGTGTATTATGCCCAATATGTATATTATATAAATTAATATTTTATAATGAAAATTAGCAAAAATATTCCATAGCTTTACTTCTAGAGCACACAAGTAGATAGATAATATTCATCTACTATAGGGACATAATGTATAAAATTATTGATAAAAACACATAATCGAAATTTGAGAAATGTTCTGTATTGTTCCTAGTATAAATTACTGAATGTTTTATGTGTTGTTTACTTCCACACCCCTGGCAGTGCAAGAAGTAACTAATAGTGACCTACACAATTACAGGAGACTCTGCATACTGCCAAGAAAGCACATTGTTATCATGGTCCCATGAGAGTGTATTATTTTGGGTATAAATAAAAGAAAGAAGTGAAAAAAAGGAACTAAAAGACACAAATAGTGCTGGAAGTCTCCTTTTAATTCTCATAAAAGAACATCAGTGTAACAAAATCATCACGGCCACTATTTTATTTGCAGTGTCAACAAATGGGTCAACTATTAGATGGATGAAAATGGAACCTCTTTCATAGGGAAGCTTTCTTAGCACCATATTCTTATAAGGAAGAGGAAATCGTACACTGACAATCCCATCCCCAGCTTATTATTATCAGTAATATGGATAATTACACCCATCCTGCAGAGAGTTTTCTTGAAGATGATGAACTTGTGTCTGGTTTATGCAGAGGTGGCTAGTGAGAGCATGCAGTAGAAGGCAGGGTTCTTTACTCTCACCCTGTTCTCTGCTTTGATTATTCAATTTAAAATACTGACTATTTTCAATCTTTCATGGTAATGCAATCTGTTTCTATACCTTTTTACCTTGGATAAAAGAACATAATCTTAAAAATTCATATACTATAAAGAAAATGGGCTTTGTAGCCAAACCTAGGTTCAAATCTCAGCTCACTCACTTTCTAGCTATATGACCCTTGGCATGTTCCTTAGCATCTCAGCTCTAGTTTCCTTATTAATAAATTGGAAATAACTGTACCTTATAAGGCTGGTTTTGGATTAAATGAAACAGGTATGCTGACACCCAGACACAGACTTTATGGCTCAATAAATGTCAGTATCCTTCCTTTCAATAACTGGCTTAAAAACTTCTATGTGTTGGGTACCAATTCTACACTGATTGAGGTGTCGCTGAATAGAATCCAGATTTACCCGGCATATTTGGCCCTGATTTTTTATATGCAGAAAATATAGACTGAAGTTTTTCAAAAGTTAGTATTCATAGACTTTGGTAACACAGAATCTTCTGTGTCGAGAGCACAGATTTTTATTGATGGCTGCGCTGACACGTTTGTGTTATTTATTCAAAAGTCATTTGCATATGAAAATATTTGAAATGGCAACAACAGGGAACTAATTCTGGAAGAACACACACACCACAAAATCAACCTATTTTGAAAATGCTTATACTCACATTTTTTGAAGGAAAGTGTGAAAAATACTCAGAGAATAAGCCTAACACTTGGCAAGACAAAAACTTTGATATTAAACATTAGTTAAAACTTATACTGGTCCCAAGGGTTGTAACTATGCTATTACAAGCAATTACTTGTTATGTTTGCAAGTCCCCAGTGGTAATAATTAGTCTACCTGTTGACACACTATTTCTCCTACTCCACTGTTAATGTAGGCAATTGATTTGCACATGGGGGTAATTACCATCACTGATGGTGTCTGAGATGAGCTTCCCCACCAGGCTTCTGTCAATCACCACTTTCTCCAGCTGCGGCCCAGAAAGGCCTAGCGACACCAACACACCTGAACCAAAGAGGAGCTGAAACCAGGTAAGGGGGAGGGGAGATATGCCGACAATTAGAATCTTTAAAAAAATCTCTCTCTAAACATACAATTTATACATATATTTACACATACATCTGCACTATGAAATTACAGAGTTTTTCTTCATTAAAAGTAATCACTGGCATTCTGAGTAAAGAGACAGGTGGCTAAATGATGCTAAGTGCATTGATTAAAGCCACCTATATGCAGAAACAGAATTTAGTCCATGTTTATTAGGAGTCTAATCTTCTAAATACTAAGAAAGTACTCATGCAGAAATAATTGCATTGTTTTGTATTCAGAAAATGTAATGTGTTCCTTTAAAATATTTTGAAGATTACTACTTACATCAAAAATTAAAACAATATTTCTTGAGGTTTGAATACTCATTGCTACACATTAGATATAGAAGAGATGCCACCATTACAATATAAACAGCTAATGTTCAGATTTATTTGAAATGTAAACCCTACATACTTCTAAAAATAAAGATTTTGTTGGTCTCAAATATTAAAATACCTGTAAATCAGGGTAATTAAGGTAAAATATTAACATTTTTAAAAACAAATAAACATATCAGAAACAAGGAGAGATAAAGAAATATACTAAAGTACCCCAGGCTTTATCAATATCAGCATTCACCCAACCACCCAACAAAAGATGACTGGATATCACCATTATGATTTTATGGTGCTCCTTTTCATTTGTGGCGGCATAACTCATTCATCTCCAAATGTTTAAAACATTCTGAAAAAACTATGTATATGCTTGTTATCTATGAGATTATGGAATATCAACATTGGAAGAAACTGCTTCACCTTCAAGGCGACAGACTCAAACTAATGAATCACAGAATAGCATATGGTAAAAGAAGGAAAAAAAAATTGTCAGGAAACTAACAGTGAAAATGCTTTCCAAACCCAAAGACAACTATGATTTCAAACAAAACAAGGGAATCCCCCACCCACCTAGCCATCAGGTCCCAGCTAGAGAGGAGGATTCTGTGTCAAGACGTATTGGGACTTGTGTGAAAGACAAGCCACATGAGTGGCCAGGATAATGTAAAGAAAGACCACTATTCCCCCTGCTAACAGGTTCCAGGGGCATGAATCAGAAAGGGAACTGAAGGGCCCTTTTTGCGCACAACTGTTAGAATCCTTGTCCAAGTCACCAGAAAGCTTACTTTCACCGTGAAACACATGACTTAACGGACAGATCCATTTCATGCTGATGTCCTGAAAGAGGGAGGGAAAAGGACTTAATCATCTTTATTGGTCTTGGAGACTAATAAGGAAGGTACATTTGTTCCAAGAATTTCAAAATACTTCCCAAATTAATTAATCTCTACTGAATTACATCCAGCCCTGCAACATACACTGATGAAAAATATTAATATTTTCCTTTTGTGTAATTCCCCCGTAACAGTACAGCATATGGTCTTCTCAGGCAGACAACCTCAGGGTCATCTTCCATGTTTAGCTCTTCCTCCTAGTAGCTTTCTCTCCCTTTCCAAATCCTAATTCTCCTTTATTCAAAACATCTCTAAAATCTGGCCTTTCCTATTTATTTTTATCTACTAAAACTTTATACCTATACTCTTAAGCACCTCTCCTTATGGATACTGGCTAGGCCACTTTTATCTTTGTATCTTCAATGCCAGGCACATAATAGGTGCTGAATAAATGTTTGGAGAATCATAACTACCTCATCATAAAATCAGATAATTCATAGTTAGAAGAAAACTAGTCTAATCTTCCACTTTCACATGGCAAGCAAGTTCCTTCTGAACAGGGACGAATTACCCAGTGAGCAAGGGACACACAGGCTTACTTGTGCTTACTTACTAATCTATAGTGCACAATTTCACCTGTTTTTTTACTACATCCCATGTGAAATTGTGCACTACAGATTAGTAAGTGAACACAAGTAAGCCCCTGCATATTTTGCTTACTGGTTAATCTGCCCCTGCTTCTGAAGCATCCTTTCAAGCATTCTTGAGGCATTCAGCCCACGCATGAATACTGCCAGTAACCAGGAGCTCACTACCTCACAGGAAAGCTATTCTACCATTGCACAGTTATAGTCAATTTAAAGATCATTGACTCATTTTTTTTCATTCGATAAAAACTGAATGTCAGTTATATGCTAAGCACTAAACTAAATTTGCTGGCCCTAAAATGAATCAAATATAATCCTTAAGATAGGTTAAATATAGGTTAACACAGGTAGAAATACAAGCAAATAAGCATAATAAAGTGCTGTTACTGCTCCTATTATAGCAGTATACACAGGCTACTGTAACACTGAGAAGGGAATAGAGACTCTTAAGTTTGAGGTTAAGGCCTAAAGCTGTCTTCTCAGAACTTCACAGTAGCCCCAGTTTTTATTCAATAGCACCCTCTTCTAGATAACTCCCCTTCAAATATTCAAAGATAATAACCAATCAGCATTGGCTGTACCACTTCCTAGCTGTGTGACCTTGAAGGTATTACTTAACCACTCTGTGCCTTCATTTACTCATATAAAAAATGGAGGCAATAGTACCTACTTCATATGGTGAGGATTAAATAATTTTTTACAGAAAAACATTAGAGTAATGCCTGGCACACAGTGTTTACAATTACTATTATTATTATTCAACCATTACTTGTAAAACGTGCTCTCACCGTACTGTTTGTCATCTCTGAACACATTTTTTTATATCTCTTTTAAAATCTTGTACCCAGATTGGACTTATAATTCGACATGGAACACTGGACTCCAGGTGAGGTATAACCAGTAAAAAGTAGTCTTTTATTACCGTCTTCATTTGCTATGATTTCACAAAAATATCTTCTCCAAGATATTTGCAATTTCCTCAGAACTTTGAAATTTAATTTGTCCAAGTCTCTAATTCTTTTTTTCTTATTTTCTGTTCTCGCCATTGCTATCATGACATAATCATTTATCCTAGCAGAAATTGCTTTTTCTACATATAAGTATTTATTATGTTATAAAATTAACTCCAAAAGATCACTTTTGTGAGGTGGAGAACGGAAGGCCAACCTTTGGGCATGATAAGACAGAACCTAAGCTGGAAAGGATTAGACGGGAGGGTGATTATCAAGGTGCAACAGGAGAGTGTGCAGGACAGATACAGATCTACATGTGGAGATAGGAGTAGTGATTTGGGGACTATGGGTTCTGCCTAGTGAGCTTTGGCATTCCTTCAAGAATCCCTTTCAAAGGTAGGTAGAGCCACTGATTCATACATTCATTCCACAAATATAGATTTGGCACCCTGTATGAGCCCGTTCTAGGTGCTGGGGATCTAGCAGTGAGCAAAACAGACAATGTCCTTGCCCTCATTACCCTCATAGAGCATGCATTCAAGTTTGGACACAGACAATAGACACACATTTTAATATATTGTCAGATAGCAATGAGCAGTATAGAGAAAAATAAAGTACAGTAAGGATGGGGATATTGGGGTATGCTATTTTAAGCAGGATGACTAGTAAGCCTCTCTCAGGAGATGAATTTTGAGTATAGACCCATAGAAGTAAAGGAGCAAGTCCCATGAATATCTAGAGAAAAGAAATTTGAGGTAGAGAGAACACCAAGTGCAAAAACTCTGAAGTAGGAACATGCCTGGGATGACTAAAGAACAGCAAGGCCAGTGTAGCTGGAGAAGACTGAGTGAGAGGGATATTTGTAGCGGATGAAGTCAGAGAGGTGGTCAGGAGCCAGATGAGGTTAGACCTTGTTGATGAAAAGCCATTGGGTTTTAAGTAGAGGAGAATGATAATCTAATTTATGTTTTAAAGAGAACCCTCTGGCTACTCTGTTAAGAATAGAATGTTAGGGAGTCAGGGTAAGGGTGGAAGCAAGGAGACCATTAGGAGGCGAGTGCAGTGGTGCAAGTGGGAGAAGATGATGGCTTGAACTAGAAATGTAATGGGAGAGAAAATGATATGTGGTCATATTTGAGATATATTTTAAAGGAAGATTCACTAGGACTTGCTAAAGGATTGGACGTGGCATATAAGAGGAAGAAAAAGTCAAGACTGACTCAAAGGTTTTTGGCCTGAGCAGCTGGGTTTACTATGACAGGCAACACTGGTTGTTGTTGTCACTGGGTGACATCGAGTCGATTCCGACTCATAGCAACCCCAGGTGACAGAGTAGAACTATCCCGTAGGGTTTCCTTGGTTGTAATTTTTACAAAAGTAGATCACCAGGTGTTTCTCCTGAGGAGCGGCTGCGTGGGTTTGAACTGCCAAACTTTCAGTTAGCAGCCAAGCACTTAACCATTGCACCACCAGGGATCCTTAGGGAACACTGGAGAAGAAGCCAATTTAGATTGTAGGGAATCAAGAGTTTGTTTTTTGATATGTTAAGTTATGATGCCTGTGGACATACAAACGGAGTTACTGGGCAGACTCCCTCCAGCCATCTGCTATGGGGGTCTGACGACTGGCTGTACAACCTCCCCCATGATGTGCTCTAGCAGACAGGGGCACGGCCTCCAACTGGGCACCCATGGACAGGCAACATTCCACTGCCTTGCCCCTCGCATCGCCCCTCCCCAAGCAACTGGAGGCTTGTGCTTGCTTCGAACACCCCTGCACAGCCCTGCCCACCCGAGGCTGTCGATGCAAGTTTCTATACCACCCACCTGGTAACTGACAACCCGGGCACCCTTACCCTGACCATCCAGAAATCGGCAGAGCACACACACAACACCTAACCCAGACACCAAGGAGAATGCCTCCTGCACCCACAGTCAGGTGACCAGCTGGGCTGATATATAACCTCACCAGAAATGTCACCTACACCCTCAGCAGTCCCGGAAGATGAGCAAACAGAGACCCGTGTTCACATACCCAGTTGCTGCCCCACCCACCTGGAGACAGGAGGTTAGAGCTTCAATGCGGCCAGATTAAGTGACCAGAGTAGTACACAAGCCCAACCTACTCAGATATATCAAAACAAGACAAAACAAAAGTTCAGGAC